TGGTCGTTTTGCTTTCTAGAACCCCGTTCTCCTAAATAAGACTCCTCGTACTTGCTTTTACTGATTTATGACTTGCGGGAATAGTTAGTTCGGGATTTGGAAGAGTTTGGATTGAAATCGGAACACTTGGGTCTTAAGGTTGGCCTGAAAGGCCAAGTTTGACATCAGTCAACGTTTTGAGTAAACAACCTCGGAATCGGGATTTGACGGTTCTAATAGATTCATATTATGATTTCGGACTTGGTGTTTGTTCGGATTGGGTTTTGGATGACCAGGGAGCGTTTTGGCACATAATAGCGAAAGTTGGTTCTTGAAGGTGTTTAGAAGTTCTTTAAATTTGGTTTAGAGCGGGTTTGATATCGAGGTCCAAACGGTATTTTTGAGATCGGGAATAGTTATGTAATGTCATTTAAGACTTGCACGCAGAATTTGGTGTCAATCCGAGTAGTATAAGTGTAATTCATCACATTGGAAGTAAATTGAAGAACTTGAAGTTCATAAGTTTGAATCAATTGGTTTTAGGGTGTGATTCCTAGTTTAGTGTTGTTTCAGGCGTTCCGAGGGTTTGAGCGAGTCCATTTTATCATTTCAAACTTGTGGGTGTATTTCAGACGAGGATCGGACCAAGTTGGAAATTTTGGGCAAGAACTGAATGCCCAACTTCTGTCATAACCGCACCTGCGGTTGGTCAGCCGCAGATGGGAGCTCGCAGGTGTGGGCCTTGACTCGCAGATGCGACCAAGGCTGACCGGCCCAGAAACCGCAAAAGTGGCCCTCTCTTCGTAGAAGCGGAAACGCAGAAGCAGTTTGCTTTCCGCAGAAGCAGCCCCAGCCGACCCGGTGAAATTTTGCAGAAGCGGACCATTGTCCGCATATGCGGGGGTTGCAGGTGCGGCTCAGGACCGCAGATGTGGAAATCACTGAAGGCAGTAGCCTTCATTTAATACGGGCCTTAGACGTTTTTGGCTCATTTCACACTATTGTTGGGCGATTTTTGAGCTTCTTGAGAGGTGTTTTTCACCAAGCTTTTGGAGGTAAGTAATTCCTACTATATCTGAGTTAAATACTTGGATTTTGGGTAGATTAGCATTTAATGATTAGTGAAAATTATGGGATTAGAGTAAAACCTATATTTTTGATAAAAATAAGATTTAATCATGAAATTCGTTATGCAATGAAGTAAAAATCATATATTCTTGATCCTTAGGCTGTGGGTAACAACTTCCTTCAAAAATTTCCGGGATCCGGGCACTTGGGCCCGGGGTGAATTTTAAGAATCTTACCTTTGGGGTGGATAATCACTTTAATAGCTAGAATATGAACTTGTAAGCATATAATTATCGGTTTTTACGCTATTTGAATAGTTTCGGAAGAGGGAATTAACCCCATAGGTGAAATAATTAAATATGTGCTCCTACTTGTGGGGGGCTACATACGCATGAGGTGACGAGAGTCCGTGCGTAGCTACTATTATGCCTATGTCCCGGCAGTTTTAGGCTACATCATTCCTTGTTGATATTGTTGTCTATGTTTATCGTTTGCCTTGAGAAGAAATAAGATTGAGGTTGCGTAGTACTTGTGCTGAAAGGAATTTAAATTGAGGAATTTAAGACTTTAAGAGTTTCCATTATACTTAGTATTTTCGAAAAGAATTGAGAAATCTTATAATAGCTTAAGAAATCTATGAGTAACCGTGTCGCATGTACGTTTTGCGAGAGGGGTAAGTTACTCAAAAAGTTTCAAGATAATTTCAATTATTTTGAAAAAGATTCAAGACAGAGATATGACTTAAATATTAAACTTATATTTGACCGGGTCGCATGTATGATTCGCGAGCAGGATAAGTTATTAAATTTATATTTGACCGCGTCGCATGTATGATTCGCGAGCGGGGACTGCGTCGCATGTATGATTCGCGAGTAGGGAAATAGATGCATCTTTGATTCGCGTCATTCGACCCTCAGCAGTGCACAGTTTACTTTTATGTTGGATCGGGCTAAACGTGCTCGATGGTAATTACGTGTGATAATAGAATGAGAACTCTTTGTAGTTGTATGTTTCTTGTTATGCCACTTGTTTTAAATAAAGAAAGTGTCTTTCCTTCTTAAATATGATGGAGGAAATTCCTCGGTTATTGTTCTTGTTTGAGCTTGACTGTTATTATATTGTTGGCCCTAGTAAGTGTCGGAGTCGACCCCTTGTTACTACTTCTGCGAGGTTAGGCGAGATACTTACTGGGTACATATTTTTATGTACTCACGCTGCACTTCTGTACTTGATTGTACATGCTTTGGGCAGGTGCATTTTGCCATCAGTTCGGCGCGTAGATTGGACTCCTCAGCTTGAGACTTTCCGGTGAGCTGCCCTTTTTAGCCATTCTGCAGCAGCTGGAGTCTCCCTATGTCTTTATTTTTCCTGTCTATTTCCTTTCCAGACAATAGGATAGTATGATTTTGTATATTCTACTAGATTGCCCAGATACTTGTGACACCAGGTCTTGGGACACACATTGGTAGATTTATGATTTTTGGTTTGCTATCATGATTTATGTTCGCATTCATTACTCCCATCTATTTATGCTTAAGTTTCAAACTCCTAATTTCTTTATCAATAAGGAAATATTTTCACGTACTAATTTTTTAAAAGAGGATTCACTAGTTGATTAGTATTGGCTTGCCTAACAATGGTGTTGGGCGCCATCACGGCCTAATTTGGAATTTGGATCGTGACAGTTTCACTCTAGTCCTCAATCTCGCACCCATTATTATTTTATAAAAAGTAGAAGAAAAATCGTGAAAAGAAGAATACAAGTCATTGGAAAAAGAAGAACACAAATCAGTCTAGTCCTTAGTCCTTAATTTCGTACACACTATTATTTTATAAAACTAGAGTAAAATCATTAAAAAAAAAAAGAAATATGTTTTTTATAAGAAGAAAAGCGATGCATTTACAACATGGATGCATTTTAGTGTTTGGTTTTATTTAGTGGTGAATTTTTACTTATAGTGGGTCGGGTTGGATGTACGGGTGAATGTTTTATATTTTGTTTGTTATTAATTATTTTATATAGTCCAAAAATATAAAAAGTCCATGTAGACTGCCACGTCAAATTTTTTCACCCAAAAGTTTGATAATTCTGGTTGGTAACCTTCTGTGTGTAATTAATAAACGGAAAATGGCCAAAACTGCCCCTCGACTATTCGCTTAAGTTTAAAAATATCCCCCGTCCACCTATTTTGTAAAAATTGCCCTCACCGTTACAAATCTGGCCCATTCATGCCCCTAACGTCAACTTTTCGGCCCACTCATACCCTAAAAACTAACAGCCCTATTTTGATTAAGAAAAAAGTTTATTATTTATTATGTGTTAATTTCCAATTGGCTTAAATTAAAACCTCACCCCATGTCCACTTATTAGCCTACTCCGTCTTAGATTTTCACCCTTCAACACCCCCGCATCTCCCTCTCCATCTCAGATTTTTCGGCCTCAATTTAATTTTTAAATTAATATTTTTTATTAAATCAATTTTCTGAGTGAAATCAGGTACTCTTTGAAATTAATGCTTCATTGTAAGATTTTATGATTTAATAAGTTATTTTTCTGCCAATAGTAATAATCATTGAGCATTTGCAATGTTTTTTGTTGTATATTTCCTGACAACACTGCATCCATTTTTGATTATACCAATGATTTATTTGGTCTCTGCTCGGACCTCGACCTTTTTCTTCTTCATTGGCTCATCATAGTCTGAACATCCGACCATGTCCATAAATTAAGCTATTGTACGTGGATGCTCTTCAGGTTATATCAACATCGCCAATTTTAAAAAAGAGACGGTTAAATCAAGAGAAATATTTGAGATCATATGCCTGAGAATATGAGAGAATACGACTTATTGGTGAATGTGACTGTAATAAACACTTGATTGAGCTTTATTGTTAAGCAGTAAAGTGTAGTAAGAAAAATTGATGATGAATGATATTTCTGTGATGAAAAAAAATAGGAGTATTGATGTGCACATTTAATATACAAAGAAATAGGAAGAAGAAGGTGATTAACTATACGAGAGAGTTTTGTTTGCTTAGGAAAAAAAATGGTGTTATGAGAGTTTTAGTTGGTGGAATAATTTTAAAAGAAAGAGGAGAAAGAAACGGAGGAAAAGGGTCTTAGAATGTGGGTGAATTTATTTCAATTTAGGTGAGTCTTAAGTTAGGCCAATGGGACGATGACACATGGAAATTAAGGAAGTTTTTTTTTTGCCTAACAGGGTCTTTGAAAGTTGTATGACGTAAAGTATTGGTGATAAAAAATTTTGGTTGTCTGAAAATAAAACTTTAATGATGGTTTGTAGTGATTATTCAAATAGAGTGCAAGGTCAAAAAAAGGATGAGAAGAACAAGAAAAATATGAACGCACACACGCTAGGGGGAGAGAGTGGGGTGGGGGGGGGGAGAGATTTTTTGAGATGGGGGGTATTATTGTACCAACTCCAATAGTCTAGGGGCAGTTTTGACCTTTTTTCCGTTATGACACGTGGAAATTAATTAAATTTTGTTTTTATCTAACATGGCCGTTAGTCGTAAGGGCATTCTTGAGCCGAAAAGATAACGGTGAGGGCAATTTTTTCAAAATAGGTGGACGGAGGACATTATTGTACTAACTCCAATAGTCTAGGGGTAGTTTTGACCCTTTTTCGATTAATAAAATAGCTGAGTGACTTTCTTGTTACCAACGAAAGAAAAGTAAGTTTTTAAAAGTAACTTTTTAATCAGTAATTTTAGATAGTAGTAGGAGTATTTATTTTAGAGGTGAGGTAGGCCTAGCTAGGTGCAGTTGAAAAAAAAAAGGTTAAATGAGAAACGAAAAATAAGGGGCAACAGTTCCAGAGTTAGTTAGTGTTCAATTCTAACTTATCATTATAGTATTTTATTCCTATCCATTTAAAGTAGTGGTAGTCAATTTTTTTGATTTGTCTATAAAAAGGAACATACACAAAAGGAAAGGATGAAAAAAACACAAGGGAAATAAACAAGTCGAATTGCATTATTATGTCTCATCAAAAGCAAAAAACTCCAATTCTTCTCATCTTAAGCTTCTCTTTGTTTGCTCATCTTTTATCTCCATGCAACTGTGAATGCAAATTTGGCGCATCAGGCACAAAAATACAAGGGATGATGGTATTTGGCAGCTCATTAGTTGATAATGGGAACAACAATTTTATTGAAAAAACAAAAGCAAAAGCAAATTACTTGCCTTATGGAGTAGATTATGTAAGGGGACCAAGTGGTAGATTTACAAATGGGAAGAATGTGATTGATCTTATTGGTGAGAAACTAAAGCTTCCTCAAATTCCAACATTTAAAGATCCAGAAACTAAAGGAAGTTGCATTGTTCATGGTGTTAACTTTGCTTCTGGTGGTTCTGGCATTCTTGATGAAACTGGTGCTGTTTCTGTGAGTATATACTACTTTCTCTTTCTTTCTTGATTTTTATTTTGAAGAAATTAAATATTCTCCGTTGGAGTCATCAAAAGGTGTAATATAATTTAGGTGGTTTGTGATCATGCCATAGCATATATAAAGTCCCAACTGCTTTAGGGGGCTGAAGGGGTTCACCCAAACCCCCTTCGCCGAAAAATTACACTGTATATATAAGGCGAAATCTGTTTTTTACCTCTATATATTAAGTTTTGAACCCCCTTAACACAATCTGAAAGTGTAGTTTAGTGGTCAAGGGGGTTCAAAATCTTCATAAGGTCTTAGGTTCAATTCCAACTAGTTAAAAAAAAAGTTTAAATCCGAATTGTTTATGTTTAGTTTACGGTTTCTTTTTCAAGAGTCAATTGACAATTGATCACGTAAACTAAACGAAAACAATTCGTGTGTCATAATGACAATACAAAAATTAGAGAGAAAATTATTTGAGGCTATTCCAAATCATCAACTTATTATTTCAAGTCAACTTTTTTTTATGTTCCTCAACGCCACGGTTCGACTAGATTAGGCGAGGGTGCAATATCACTATGTATTTCAGTGTTAGTTGGCTGCTACTTTTTTAAGACCATAAAGGAGGAGAAATTGGCATACAAATAAGGAAAATAAATTTTAGCATATATATATTTGTGTATATCTACAAAAAAAATTATGTGTAATACAATGAGATATACAAAGAAAAACTAAAATTTTGATATATATTATGATATACAAAGAATAAAAATAAAATTTTGAACACGAAGAAGAAAAATAAAGTTGTGATATACACATTATTTTTGATGTATTATAAGTGTGATATACAAATAATATAATTATTTTTGTGTTATGCACTTAGATATATTCAAAGAAGATATATATATATATATATATATATATATATATATATATACACAAAGAAGGAAAATAAAGCTATGATATACATTTTGATATACACAATATTGTTGTGATATATATTTATTGGCGATCTAGTGCCAATATCTATAACTAGGGCTTTTTTCTGCTGAATATGTGGGTACGTTATCACACCGTGCTAATATCTCATTCTAAAAGTCCGATAATCATCAAGGAGTGCGATGAGATGAATGAATCCCTTCACCTTTCACCAATGGTCTTGGATTCGAGCGAATTGTTGATGGTGAGCGCTTTCTCTTTTAGTGAGCCACAATTTAAAATTAATTAGAGAATATAGAGGAGGGAGAGGCGTACATAACACCTCGTTCGTTTATCTATTCTACGATATAGGCTTGTGATTTGCATAACATAATATTAAACTACCTAAAACTTTTAGCACTTAATACTGCCTTCGAATGCAAACCTTTATTCAATAGAAACATCAATATCCCCCACAACTGTCCCCAGTCCCCTTAACATGTTACAAAATTCTCTGCCCTTTTATTTTCCTCCTTATATTTCACAATTTTGGTTAGTTACAAACCACATAATACTATAGTTTCCAATTAACTGTTTTAAGCTCTGAGTCCAAACATAACCTTTGATTATGATTTTCTGAGCAAGAAAAATCTTTCTCTTAAAATTTACCAAATTATATAGGCTGCAATAATTAAGAAACCACAACAAAATTGACAGCAATCTCATAGAGAAAGGTAGATAATGTATCACCCATAATTTCTTTTTCCTGCATCTAAAGTAATATCCTACTTATGATAATAAAAGTTGTTATAACCACAAATAAAGAGAGTCTTTGTAACCATAAATGGCCACTCCAATAACAATCGTTAACACCTTTAATGTGGTTTATGCCTTTTTCTTTTCTGGCTAGTTTTTCACTTAATTCTTATATAAAGAGGATAAAATTAAAATTAAAGAGTGAAACAAATGTACTAATTAATGATTGAAGAAAATTGTCATAATCTATGAACTTATTTGTATAAAATAACCTCAATTAAATAACAAAAAAAAAATACACTGTAACGCTTTTATAATTATAAAGTATATAATAATAATAATAATTTAAAGTACATTTGGGGCCTTCAAATTTTGGGGGCCTAAGGCAATTACCTTACTGTCTTAGCCTTTAGAGCCGCTCCTGAATTGGTACTTCTCTCTTGCTTCTCCTAGTCTTATTGTCTCCTTATCAAGATTAGAAAATTAATTATGAAAAAAAAAATTATATATAGAAACTCGAAGAAAAGACTTCTTATTGACCATCAGAGCATATAGTCTAGTGGTATCGATGAGAGTATTCAACGCAATAGACGTAGGCTCGATTTTGACTATTCTTTTCCAATTATCCCATCCTAGATCTATGTAGCAATTTATGTAATAATATTTTCTTTTTAATTTGTTCCACTGTAGATTATTATTGACGTTTGATTCTTAATTAAATTATTGTAGGGGGAAGTGATGAGCTTAAATGAACAAATCAGAAACTTAGAGAATGTGACATTGCCTGAGTTGGAAGTACAGCTGGGATGCAATGCCAAAGAAGCACTGGGAAATTACCTGTTTGTTGTGGGAAGTGGAGGCAATGATTTTTCACTCAACTACTTCTTGAACTTCCCCAACAACAATGCCACTCTTCCAGATTTCATTTCTAAGTTGATCAATGCTCTCTCTCACCAGATCCAGGTCTGCCTCTAACTACCTTCTTCTTGCATTTTTTTTTTAAACCACTTTTGGTCTTATATTATTTTAATTAAAAAATATATACAGTATTTGTTTTCTTTAGGTTTTGGTATAGTTTGAGGCAAGAAAATGAGAAAAATTTGTTATACTCCTTTTTTTTTTTCAAGAAGAATAGTTAGGAGAAAGTCTAATATTTAAAGTTGGAAGGAGAGTGTTTTTGGTTCCCCGCACCCACATTGGGGCCAGACTGAATTTGGATTCGCGTCGGGAAGTCCTACGTTGGAGTAAAGCGCTTCCTAAGAAAGACGATTCCATACCCAGGGACTCGAACCCGAGACCTCTGGATGAAGGAGTACTTGCCCCTCCACCAGGGGCGGATTAACCATATAACTATCGGGTTCAACTGAACCCAGTACTTTCAATGCAGAGCATAAATTTATGTGTAAGAAACCACTAAAATTGCAATAAATAATAGATATGAATCCATAAATTTAAATGTTGAACCCATATAACTAAAATTCTAGATCCGCGTATGCACTCTACCACAACCCTTGTTGGTAGTTGGAGGGAGAGTTTGATTTTAAAGCAAAATTGGAGGTGAAAAATAATCTAGTCCAAACCTCATGTCCATATTTTCATACTTTTACTATACTATTTGGCATAAGGAAAAAAGGTACTATAGTATTTGGCAATTTTTCTATCCTAGTTATGATAGTAGTAAACAAAGTACTATATAATATATTTAACATTTGTGTTAAATCAAAGTTAGACGTCTAATTATAAGAAATATAGAAAAGAAAATATCTTACTATGGATGATTTGATTTTGCAGAGGTTGTACGACTTGGGAGCAAGAAAATTTGTGGTAATGTCATTATATCCGAATGGGTGCAGTCCAATGGTTAGGGCAAGAATTCCCATTCCCATGCCCGACTGCGTACAAACAATAAATGTACCTCTACGTCTTTACAACAATAACTTAAGGAGCTTGGTCGATGAGATGACGCAAAAAATGCCTGGTTCTAAACTAGTCTATGTTAATGTTTACAAGATCATTAGGGATATCATACGAACTCCTACTCAACATGGTAAGTACTTTCAATTCTTTCCTTTTTTTATTTTCCGGATATTCTTTTTGTGGCACATATGAACTCCTACCCAAATTAAGTCTTTTTGCAAAATCAAGGTTAAAATTTTAAAATAAAAGTTTATCTTAGTTTAATCTAATTCAAACAACAACAATAACTGCATACCCAGTGTAATCTCATATTGTAGTGTTTGGTGAGGGTAAAGTGTACGCAGATCTTACTCCTACCTTGTGAAGATAAAGACAGTTTCCGAAAGACTCTTGGCTCAAGAAAAATAATTTTCAGCAGGTTTGAACAGGAGAACAGTAATGAAGAGGTCATATTGAAAATACTAAAGACAAGAACATTAATAACACAAATAACAAAGCACTAAGATAAGTAAAGCAAGGGGAATAACATATAATAATAAAAATCAAAGAATAAAAAAACTAAAATGATAATACTAATACTGGTATTGAAAAGATAGAGTAGGTACAGAGTCCCAGACTCGACGGCCTGCTAACTTTCTACTATAATTTTCGACCTCCATATCTTCCTATCTAGGGTTATGTCCTCGGTAAGCTGGAGACATGCCATGTCATGTTTAATCACTTCTCCCCAATACTACTTCGGCTTACCTCTACCGCTCCTCAGATCCACAACGGCCGACCTCTCGCACTTCCTCACTTGGGGTATCTATGCATCTACTCTTCGCACTGTACCATTTCAGCCTCGCTTCCCTCATTTGTTGTCCATAAAAGCCACTCCCATCTTGTCCAGAATAACTTTGTTCCTAATCATATCTTGGCCATCCATCTCAACATCCTCATTTTCGCTTCTTTCATCTTCTAAGCATGAGGTTCTTGACTTGCCAACACTTTGCTGCATACAACATACATGTTCTAACAAGCACTCTATAGAACTTACCTTTAAGTTTTGGTGGCACCTTCTTATCATACAAAACATCGGATGTGAGCTTTCATTTCATCCACCCCACTCTAATACGATGTGTGATATCATCGACAATCCCCCAATTTTCTTGAATTATTGATCCCAGATACTTGAAACTTGGATGACTTGTGTATCAACCCTTACTCCCACATCTGCCTCATGGAGTACATCATACAACTTGCACTCCAAGTACTCCGTCTTAGTCCTGCTCAACTTGAAGCCATGAGATTCTAGGGTCTTTCTTCAAACCTCCAGCCTCGGGTTAACTGCGCTGCGCGTCTCATCAATTAATATTATGGAATTTGCAAATAACATACATCATGGCACTTCCTCTTGTATATATTGCATCAATACATCCATCACCAAGGCAAAAATAATTGGCTAAAGGTTGATCTCTGGTGCATCACCGTTACTACTGAAAAGTACCTTGAGTCTCCTTCCACTGCTCTTACCCGAGTTTTGGCCTCATCATACATGTCCTTAATCGCCCTAATATATGCTACAGGTACACCTATTGCCTCCAAACATCTCCATAGAACCTTCCTCAGAACTTTATCGTATGCTTTTTCTAGGTTAATAAATACTATATATGAGTCTCTCTTCCTTTCCCTATATTGTTCCACCAATCGCCTAACAAGATGAATGGCTTCTATAGTAGATTACTCCTCAATGAATCTGAATTGGTTCTCGAAAATAGACAGCCTACTCCTCAACCTCATCTCCACCAACTTTTCCCAAATTTTCATCATGTGACTAAGTAGCTTGGTACCCTTACAGTTGTTGCAGTGTTGAATACCACCCTTGTTCTTGTACAATTGAATCTTCGTGCTCCACCTCTATTCTCCGAGCATCTTTTCCATCTTAAAAATAATATTAAATAACCCAGTTAGCCACTCCATACTTGCTTTGCCTGCGCTTTTCCAAATTTTATTGGAATTTCGTCTGGCCCGGTCTCTCTTTTCCTCCTCTTCTTATGCATAGCCTCCGTAACCTCCTCGAACTTTATACGTCTACAATACCCAAAATCTCAACACCTTTCAGAGTGTTCTAAATCACCTAAAATAATATTTTTGTCCCCCTCTTCATTCAAGAGTTTATGAAAATACGTGTGCCATCTTTATCTATTGTGTGCGTTCTCGCCTATACTATGCCTTTCTTGTCTTTGATGTACTTCACTTGATCCAGGTCTCGAGTCCTCCTCTCTCTCACATTAGCGAGCTTGTACAACATCTTATCCCCAACTTTGTCCTCTAGATCTACATACACGTGTTCCAACACAACCGTTTTTGCCGACGAAACCACTAACTTTGCTCCTTATTCGTCATCTTATATACCTCCCTATTTATCCTCTTTTCCTTCTTGTCTTTTATCTTTACTAGCTTCATGTAGGACACCTTCTTGGCTTCTACTTTCCGTTGGACCTCTTCATTCCACCACCGGTCCCCTTGTTGCCAACCGAAGTGGCCCCACGAGAGCTCCAACACCTCCCTAGCTACTTTCCTAATGAATTAGCTGTCCTATCCCACACACTGTTTTCATCCCCACTACGACCCCAAGCCTCCACCCAGTGGCGTAAACACCCTATGCCAAGGATGGCCAAGTGCACACCCTTCACAGGAAAATTATACTGCATATATAAGTTAGACATTATATATATATATATATATATATATATATATATATATATATATATATATATATATATATAAAACAACCTTAACACACTTGAGTGAGCTAGTTTTGCAGTTCAGGGTGTTCAAAGTGACGTGTTGTTCATGGGTTCAAAGTTTTGCCCATTTTATTTACCAAAACTAAACTGAGACCACCAGGTATGCTCTATTTGATTCTTTTTTCGATCTAAAAGATTTTCTAATAAAATAACTCTTAAAACTTAAAATTTGTGTAGAAATAAACAACTAATTAAAATTAATTTTTGACTAAAAGTTATTTCTTAAATAAATTTTGTAATTTAAAATTCAAGCTCCACAAAAATTTCTTCAGAATAACCTCTCTACAATTTACAAATCCTCTCGACTCTCTCTTTCCTTTAGTTTTATGCTTAATTTTATTAGTAAAATTTCTGATATTGTCTTTTTGTTATTTTAATTTTGATTTATAAATGTTTAGCTAAATGTTGCTTAGTTTGATCTAAAAATTTTGGTACAGCATTCATCGATAAAAAAAATTATTGACTTGTTCAAAGTTTGAACATCCTTAACGAAATTTCTGGCTACGTCACTGCCTCCGCCACTATCAACTTCTCCGTCATCTCCTAAGCTTTGGCCTTACTCAAACTGCTCCATTTGATCCTTGGTTAGCCATACACAACTCTCTTTTGTTAGCCATACACAACTCTCTTTTGCCTCTTCCTTTTAATCTCGGAGTCCATAGCCAAAAGCTTGTGTTGTATTGTAAGATTCTCATTCGGAATAACCTTGCAGTCCTTACACAGACCTCTATCACCTTTGCTAAAGAGCAAGTAATCTATCTGAGTCTTAGCCACCATACTATAGAAGGTAACCAAGTGCTCCTCCTTCTTGGGAAAACTCGAATTACTTATCATCAAATCAAAATGCTTTGAGTCCAAAAATGAAACTCCTCCTTCATTCCTATCCTCAAAACCAAAATCGCCATATACATCATCTTAACTTCTTGACATAGACCTGATGTGGCTATTGAAGTCTCCTCCTATGCAAAGCTTCTCGGTGTGAGGAATACATCTCACAACCTCATCCAAATCGTTCTAATTTAAACCAAAAATATGTATTTTATATTACATTTAATATATCCCATTTTTATCCTATGAAGCAAATAATTTCGTCATTATTTAAGCGAAAAAGTGATTGATATTTTAACCGATTGTGACAAGTCTTTTCTATTTACATACACAGATTTTAATGATACAAGGCATTCTTGTTGTGAACTTACAACAATAAAAGAAGGTGGGACTGAGACTTTGTGCAAAACCGGAGGGAATGTTTGTTCAATGAGGAGCAAATATGTGTGGTTTGATGGGTTGCATCCCACAGAAGCAGTGAATGTTGTGCTTGCTAACAAGGCCTTTGCTTCCGATCTTCAAGATGAAGTCTACCCTACAAATGTTAAAAACCTCGCAGAACAATAATACATGGCTTTTCATGTTCTAATTCTCTTAGACTATGTAGAACTTACTAGCGTATAAATGTATTTTTAGTACGATGATTGCAGTATGTAGGACCCTTTTTTTCTTTTGCATAACACAAGTTTTTAGAGTTTGCCCCTTGCAAATGTTCTTTTAGTTCTCGCAATAAGTTTTATGTTAAGACGTAAGAGATCAATAATGCAAAACACAGAAGACCATTGTAGCCATTTCTTTTATTCATATTGTGACTAGTTATTTTGTAATATTTCCTCGTTATTGAGAAGGTTTACATTAATTTTGTGCACGGAAAAGTTATATTACTCTTTTTCATGATCAAATAGGCCTCGTAGTTATGTGTTGATCAATCAAGTGTTCTTTTGGAAAAATATTAAGAAAAACATTCCAAAAGAAAACAAGTAAAACTTCCTAGGTCTTAAGATGAAATTACAAATTTCAGGCCACTTGCCAGTTAGATTTCAAACTTTAGATAAAGCGTTTGCTATTAGAACTATACCAATATTTTCTTAACACAAGAAGAGGAGGAATAAGAGGAGAAGTCGAAGGAATTGCAGAAAAAGCAAGGTTCTACTGCGTAAATTAGAAATGGATTACATTTGCACAAATGTTTAAATTGTAATTATGTTTTAAGTAGCAACATTAACAATGGCTATACCGTGTTATTTCTACTATTTGCACTATCACGCATGACTCTCTTTTCTTAGAGCTGCTCCATTAATAAGCTCCGCTCAAAGTTTTGTTTCGTTTTGAAAATTTAGTTTCTGAAACTTTAATTTGAGTATCTTCGACATGGTAAATTACTCGAGGACCCAAAGGTATCCAGGGCACTGTGGACCAAAGCAGCACGTTACTCCCTTGTAAATGGGCAGTTATATAGGAGGTGGTTCTAGGGACCATTGGCTCGGTGTTTAGGGGCCTCGGAGGTGGACTACGTGATGAGGGAAGTCCACGAAGGAGTTTGTGGGAATCATTTTGGTGCAGACTCGTTAGATCTAAAGTTGAACAGGTCAGGTTACTACTGGCCCAAATGGAATAGGACGCAAAGGCATTCGTTAAAAAACGTGACAAATATCAACACCATACATAGTTGATGCACCAAACGGCAGAACTTTTGCATTCAGTGTTGTCCCTGATAACAACAAGGTCTGGAATTCAAACTAGAGTAAGAATTTGAGAAGTAAATGCGGAAACAATAAGAAATTGATCAACTAGAATTAAAGTGTAGAAAATAAAGGATATGGGAAAATTCAAGAAAAGAATTCCAAGAACTTTCAAGAACGCAAGTTCTATAGCCTTGACAAGATCAAAGAATTCCTTATGGACCTATGATCGTGTGGTATGCTAGGCTGGAAATATTGAAGGCCCAGCAAGGCTGGTATTTAGTTGTTTGTTTGGGCATGCTATAGACCTGTCTAATGCCATGTAATATCACTATTTTACTTATTAATCTGGTCCTGTAGTAATACTTTGTATAAACAATTGGAGTGTAGTGGAAAGGGGATGGGTAGAATTCTATATCTATATGCCATGGGTAGATAACATGCCTATAGGACTTGACAATATGTTTGTTATATATTGAGCCCCATAGAAATCATGATATTAGGAAATCACACACTTCACTTAGCCTGCCTAATGCATGTACAAGCATGATCTTTGACTAAATGTTTTACCTGCTCTTATATACATTTCTGTCCGATCACTAGATATTATGCCTATACGGAATGAATGTTAATAACCCCTTTACAACCTGCACCACGCTCAATAGATATCATGCCTATAGGATTTTAATTACTTAAATTTGTTGCTGCATCACAGTCTATCTCGAAAACATGCATATAGGAGCCAAATACGCATAAAATCAGCTCAAACTATCAACTATTAGAAACCATGCCTATAGGATCTAAAATCAGTTTCAGTTTTAATTATAGAATTCATGCCTATGGGGTCTGAATCAGTTTAATTAATTGTCCTACTCGCTTCTTTAATAGCCTTCACACTGTGCTAATTATCACGACTAGAAATCATGCCTATAGGTCTTATCTCTTATACCTGTAATCAGTACGCAACCATGTAGGTTTCAGAGATTGAAAACTGCCTGCTTATTAAAATCCAGAATCACATAGAGATCATGCCCATAGGTTTCTGCAACTTCAACTTGTTAAAATCTGCAACTGTCTTTGTTAATCAGGCTTTGCGTGCATTTGTTGTTTAAGTGCGGAGGCCAACTTGAGCCCTTATTTGTTTATAAGTGAAAGTCCAAAATATTTTGTATGCCGCCTAGTATTTTTCATGTTTGATCAGCCTAAGTTAAAGTCTAGAACCACCCTGAGATAGAGGTCCAAATGCCTCCTGGACCCTAGGCATGAGACGGGTGGTGCACGCATAGGGTAGGACTTAGAATTGACTAGTGCGCTTTAGGTAAACAACTTAAAGATAGTTATCGGGTAGCAGGAGATGATAGTCTGTGCCCGCTGAATAATATGAGTAACACCCCACCTTGAGGGAGTTACGAAGTATTATTTATGTTGCACGGGGTGATCCTTTAGGCTAAAAAACTTAGGACCCCCCATCTTTGCTTAAAAATCAATCATATTATTTATTTGTCCTTCCAGTTAGACTAATTCATATAATTCAAGTTCGTCCGGGACCCATCATTGTGGACCTCGAGGAGTGACTAACACCTTCTGCTCAAGGTAATTTGAGCCTTTACCCGATTTTTGGTGACGCAACTAGTTAATCCAGAGTTATCTGTAAATAGGTGCCCTAACACACCTTAATCCGTTAGGTGGTGACTCTCTCTCTCTCTCTCTCTCTCTCTCTCTCTCTCTCTCTCTCTCTCTCTCTCTCTCTCTCTTTTAAAACCCTTTTCTTAAAAGAGTTGTCACGTGTCGAAACCCGATTTCGCGAGAAAAAGGGGCGCGACACACACACACACACACGTATATATATATATATATATATATATATATATATGTGTGTGTGTGTGTGTGTGTGTATATATATATATATGTATATATATATATATGTATATATGTATGTATGTATGTATAAAATTTTACACATCATTGCCGCCAAAACCCGAAGGGAGAGAAGGATCTACGTTTTCGTCGGTGGAGGAAGGCGAATCCACTATCGGCTCAGGGCCTTCATCTTCTTCTGTCTCCCCTACGGTTCCAAAATAGTCGGTATTAGTATTCGAGGAGTCAGTTACAATGGGCCGAGCAGGAAGATTCTCGCGAGCAATTAACTCCAATTCTCGAGCTTTTGCAATGTAATCATCGATATCAACAATGCCTGCTTTGGCTTCTTCAAAAATCTTCCTTTTCATATGGTGCATGGCATAGCTCTTCATGAATCAATGGATCTTCCTAATACTGGAGTTGAGCTCGGAGTTTATCAATTTCGGTCTGAAGCCCTTCCTTTCGGCTTTCATGGCGCTGAGGCGGGAGTTAAGCTCAATATTTGTAGTTGAGTGGATCCGGTTTTGCTCCATGACCCTCTTGAGCCTCTCTGCTATTTTGGATCTCTTCTTCTTGGTAGCGTTGGCCTTCTCGATTTTGGAGAATAAGTCAACCTTGAGATTATTAATTTGCTCCTCGAAGGCAGACTCATGCTCGGCATCAGCGATTACAACATCATGAAGTTCGGCCCACCTAGCCTTAGTTTCTTGAAGCTTTTCGTGTAATTGGGAATCTTCTTGGCTATGGGTCATTTTATCTTGATCGGTTTTCTGTAAGCGAGCCTCAAGCTCATCCACCTAAGCGCCTTTTGCTTCCAGCACCGGGAGGCACGCGATAAGCGGGTTCCTTTAAGCTAAAAGTTGATCCCGCTCAGAAGCAAGTGCTTGTTTGTCAAGGATCAACCTTTTCAGGCCCTCGGAAGCAAGAAGGTTAGCCTAAAAGGACGAGGTTAGAGTTAAGGTTACCATTGCAGCGTTGAAATGGAAAAGGAGATAGGAGGAAATTAGGATGATACCTACGTCGCACTGTGCATACTATTTTATCAGACACTTCCCAAAAAGGGAGTTCATTTTCTTCCAATCTTCGCCGAAGTCAGCGGCTTCATATAATTGACAAGCTCCACCGGCCTGGAGAGGAGATGACACTCCTTCGAGATTGAAAGAATGGACTTCCGTCTTCCTTGAGGATCTTGAGAAGGTATAGCATAGGTGCTCCCCAAGTTCCTGTGGTCAGGAGACCGAGGAGGAGATGCATCCCTTTCTTGATTAGCCGGTACCCGTGGAGAAGATACGGTTGGTGTTGGTGGCGAAGGAGCAGCTAGTATCGGTGGACGTGAAGTCACTAGTGTGGAAGGAGAAGAAGCAGCTGCGACAGAAGGAGTGTTGGCTGTGATTTGCTTAGTGGTTGGGGGCAGAAGAGGCTCAGGGTCCGAACTCCTTGGACCAGAGACAACAATTGGGGCCGAGAAGCGAGAATCGGCATTCTCGACCAGGTCCATCTCACTCTAAAGCGCCTGAGTTTCCTCTAATGTTGTTTGAAGCTCTCCCGGCTGAGCGTCCGGTTAAGATTATGAAAATCATTTTCTCCTTTGGAGGGGAGCCTCTTCATCATTGGCTTCCCTTTCATCAACGAGGACCACCGCGGCCGGCTTGGATGGCATTTTCTTTGCCCCCTTTTCTTGAGTCCCAGCCGAGGAGGAGCGTCTTCTCTTTGGTTTCTTGCTCTCGAGTTGGGGACTCCGAGAGGAGGCACCCTCACCGGAGGCTCAAACAGATCCACGAGCTTAGTTCCGGGCAGGGGCATTTGCAACACCCTCCTGAGCTCCTCGGGGTCATCTAAGGTATAGACTTCATGGAAGATGACAGAACCCCTCGGAAAGCCCTGTATTAGGCAAAAATGAAGTTAGCAATTTATTCATGGGTTTTCTTGTGTTCGAATAAGGATAAAAAAGGACTTGTCTTACCATGGTGTTTGGCCTTCCACCCTTATTTGGGAGCCATTTCCTTCCACCATCGGGATTCTAGAGTTATAATATCCAGAATTCCCTAAACCCATTGGTCCAGGTCCTAAACCCGTGGCGGTTTCCATCGAGTAGCTGAAACGAAGGAAACAGAAAATTAGCAAAAGCGGGAAATGACCTTTTTCACGGAGAAAGGAAGCAGAAAACCAAAAACTTACGAAAAAGGTTCCATGACTTGGGAAAGGCTGGATTTTTGGTGGGGATGATGTCCCTGGTAGCAATAACGACAAATCGCTCCACCATCCATGATCGTTGTCGTCGTCTACACTAGTAAGGAGAGCGTGG